ATTCAGCTACGCTATTCACGTAGCTGAATTTGCGTATCTTAAATCGACTCCCCGCTGTAGTGTAGATGTACCCTATATCACAGAATCCACAAAACTACATGCCTCCAAATTAACCACCAGAGGGAGCAATGTATGCTAATTAAAGAAATAAGCTATACTGAGACCAAGAAAGAAAACAATTGCCTTTTTCAGAACCTTGATGAGCACATAGCTGAAACACTGGTCTTATAGAATATTATTTTGTAACACAGTATTCAGATTTAGTTAGCTAGATCTGAAATGATTTGCTTCTTAGCTCCCCACTACCGTCAACAGCTGCATTTAAAGCCCAATGAAGTTTTAATTTATTTTATTATTTTACTGCTGTTTCAAATCAAGGAATTTCCATTGTTTACATGTTTTCCCATAACTATGTCATGTATCAGAATAATTGTTGTAGGTTAGAGTAGGAATAAGACAAACAGAATAAGCCCCGCAAACATGTAAAAACCCCATCAACTGGAACTGTTCTGACAATAAATTACACGGAAGCAGGGGCGGCTCCAGGCACCAGCGCAGCAAGTGCATGCCTGGGGCGGCAAGCCGTGGGGGGTGGCCTACCGGTGGCTGTGAGGGCGGCAGGCAGGCGGCTTTCGGTGGCATGGTTGTGGGAGGTCCGCCGGTCCTGCGGCTTCGGCGGCAATTCGGCGGAGGAGACGCCGATGGCACGGCACCGGCGGACTTCCCGCAGGCATGCCGCCGAATCCACGTTAGCAGAGGACCAGCCTGCAGGTGCGCCGCTGAAAGCCACCTGTCTGCCGTGCTTGGGGCGGCAAAAAACATAGAGCCGCCCCTGCACGGAAGTGACCTTTTTCTGGCTGAGGCAGTGGGCTAGATCCTCAGCTGATGTCACTTAATGTAGCTCCAATTAAGTTAATTGAGCTTTGCTGATTTAGATCAACTGAGAATCTGGCTCAATATCTCAGTACACACAGACAAAAAATGTCCAGGGCAACAGAAGATTGTAATATCCAAGTGTTGTTTGATTAACCTAACCAGCGTCTATATTTATCACTTCTAGCTTCTATATTTGATCTAGAAGAGTTTCTGTGCAATTTTACTCTCAATGCAGACTTACTGCCAGAGCTCATGTTACGCTCCCCTATTTAAACTGTATTTACACTTCACTATGATTGCTTCTATAGTCTGTATTAGAGATATTCTTATCATCACATGAAACATGCTCCAGGAGTATTAGGAATCTGACAATTTCTGTTCAAACATTTTGTAGGAAATGTAAAGTATTGGTTCAGATGGCTACTTACCATGAAGTCAGTAGCAGCCCCTGAATTGGCATGTCTGAGGTAGACGGGATTAACACTGAAGGTTTGCTGTAACTTGTATTTGTCTTTGACCCTATCAATAATAGAATGAATTGTGCTTAGTAAAAAAAATCCTCAGAGGAAGACTTTGCAATTTGTATGTTGTACTTTGAGTGTTCGTTCCCTTTGATTGTTTTGCTCTACTCACCAGAATGCAGTGCAGTCAAAGTGAACCATCATCCATTTAGAAGGATTGAAAGCAAAAGAATCTGCATATTCAATGCCGTTCAAAAATAATCGAAATTCAGGGCAGAGAAATGCAGTTCCTGCATAGGCAGCATCAATATGAAGCCAGAGACCCTCAGCGGCACCTGGAGAAATAGAAAATGTGTGGGGGGTCATGGTGGCTCAGTGAGTTAACACGTAGCTTCTCCATTCTGGAGAAGTAGGTTTACATTTTGTTTAGGACACAAGAGAAAAAAGTGTGGAAGCAAGACAGACCAGTCCATCTCAAAGATGTTTCTGCATCAGACACCTAAATCCACTGGAAAAGATTGGATCCGGATAGGCCCATCTCTTCTTCACGACAGAATCTTGGCTAATCCTTCCCCCTCTGTAAGGCAGCCTCTTAAAGTTTGAGGTCCTGTCATCTGTACTAACAGTGAGTGAAATTCCTCATCACATCCCCACCACAAAGCCAGAATCGGGGGATCCCAACAGAATGGAATCCCCACCCAACCAATGGCAATGTCAGCAGCAGCACACCAGTCTCTCTGCACCCACGAATCAGAACCTGGGCTGGAGTAGGATTCACAATCACTTCCCACTCCTTTGAAACATAGACCTAGCGGCCACAATGATGTCCTGCCAGCCCCTACTTTCAAAACCTCTTCCAGCCTGGGACATCCATGGAACCTCTGCTAGTGGGTGAATTTCATGCATTTTGAACAGGACATATTTTAATGGCTTATTTCAAACATCGCAGACATTAATGGAGAGATTCCCATTGACTCCAAAGGTCTTTGAATCAGGTCCTAAAAGATCAGCTGAATAGTGGTTTCCTGTTTGCTCTTGGCTCCACAAAAAATCCCACACTTGCCTCCCTTTACTGCCTGTATATGATTTTATGGTTAAAGAGATGCTTACAAATTGGACCCAGCTCTGATAGACTGTCAAAAGCACAGACACCAGTTGTACCCAACGTCGCACAAACCTGGAAGAAAACAAAGACTTGTCAAGATGGGATATTTAAATAATCTTTTTTTTTGACCCACATATTCAAGAACTAATCAGGCTAAGAATTCAGTCAGAATGGAAATTGTACCTTCTTATTTGAACAGACCCAAGTGTAAATTATTCACATGTATTTCTACCTTGAATTCATTATTGTTACCATAGTAGCAAAGTGATTCAGACACATTTTTACATGGACAATAATAATACACCAATATGTCAGTATCCGAAAGCAGAACTTACAAAGACAGGCACTAGGCCTTGGTTTCTGTCTTCTTCGATGGCTTTCTTCAGGGCTTCGCCTCGGAGGGCAAAGTTCTCATCCACAGGCAGAAATTTCATCTTCACAAGAGCAATCAAGCCAGCCTTTTCTACTGAGGAATGAGCCTAAAAGAACAGAAAGGACTGCCTAGAAATACAGCTCCCTCACTCTATTCCCTCCTCTGGAGACGTAGGAAGGAGAGAACAGAAATGTGCTTTGCAGTGTGCCTAAGAGGACAGCAAATCTGGGCACAGATGAACCAAGGGAGAAGAAAAAGTTCCAAAAACAAGGGGCCCTTACCAAGAACATCCGTCTCATTTATAGTGAGGGAGATCCAGCTCCAGCATCTATTCTATGACAATATGTATGTTTTGGGGAAACAGATGATCTCTCAGGTGCTGTGCTCTGGATGGAGCACATCGGAGGTTTGGCCAATAATGGGAAGGAAGAAGGGCTAAGTGCAGGAGTGGGAGTCAGGTGAATGGGGATCTCTTAGTGCCACTATGACCTTAAGAAAGGCACTTCACTTTACTGTAAAAGCTTTCCCTCTGTAAAACGGGACTAACACCGCCCACCTCAGGGTTCATTCACAGCAGCACAGTACTTTGACTACTAATATAAAATTGCAAAGTGTTATTATTCAGTCTGATAACACAGGAGCTAATTTGTTTATTCATAACAGTGGAAACCTACCTGATCAGATGCATAAGCAACAAGACGAGAGTTCAGTGTGGACTCATCAGTATCTGGCTCCGAAACCTTCATTTCCAGAATTTTGTTTTTTCTCGCTGCTAGCAGAGCAATCAAGGTTGATTCACTAACAGTGCTCTGCAAAGAAACAGCTGCTTATTAATTGCAGAATATCCAGAAGAGTTTTCCTCCTTTCTTGCTAGTTTGGCATGGATTTGCTAGTCACTAAAGCAATCATCTTATCCATCCCCCATTTTATTTCTGCCACAAGTTATTTCATGTGCAGTGGAACCCCACTTATCGTCTCCATTGTGCTGCTGGTCTCTGTGGGCCAGCAGCAGAAAGTGATGCATTTTGAATGCTGTGTGCTTTGAACGAGCAGGAGAGCATTAACAAGAAGAAAGTACTGTACATTTTCCTTTGGCTATAAAGTAGTATAATTCACAGAATTTATGGGCCTGATCAAGGCCCACTGAAGTCAGTGGAAGTTTTTCCATTGACTTCAGTAGGCACTGGAGAAGGGCTTATGGAAGCAGTTAAAAATGCAGGGCCTGATCCTGCAATTCTTACACATTCAAAGTACACAGGACTTGAAGTAAATGGGGCAGGGTTACTGGCATGAAGAAAGGTCGCTAGAGAAGTGTCCACTATCCCCAGGTGGTTTCACATAATTTTGGAGCATACAAGGATGATGTGAAATGAAGAAATCAGAAGGAAAAGTTGTGTTGACCTCATTTAGCAATAACACAGGTCCAAAGAGAAATAGCTCCTATATTGTAACTCAGGGACCCATCATGCAATGGTTCTACATAAAAATTGGATTTTAAAATTACAGAACGTAACCACATTTAGAGTTAAAAAGTTTCTCCTAATATATACCCTAAATCTCCCTTGCTGCAGATTATTCCCATTGCCTTTGGTCCTACCTTCAATGGACATGGAGAACAACTGATCACTATCCTCTTTATAACAGCCCTTAACATATTTGAAAACTGTTATTAGGTTCCCTCTCAGTCTTCTTTTGTTAAGACTAAACATGCCCAGTTTTTTTAACCTTTCCTCATAGGTCAGGTTTTCTAAACTTTTTATCACTTTTGTTGCTTTCCTCGGACTCTCTCCAGTTTATTCACATCTTTCCTAAAATGTGGTACCCAGAATTGGACACAGGACTCCTGGAAACTTTACCTCAGGTAAAAACTTCCACTAACTTCTAAAGGGAGTTTTGTTTGAGCAAAGGAATAGGCATTCTGAAGTGTGCGAATCAATTCTGCAAAACACCCACTGAGCTCTCCTACCTGTAATACTCCTCCTCCCTGGCTGTCTGGGTGATGGTGCAAGAACATATCTGGAAGGCCCAGCATTTTCGCCAGCCAATCCATTACATTCATTTCCAGTTCTGTACAGGCTGGACTGGAGGCCTAGAAATTGGAACAAATAGACTCAGTCATGTTTTAATCCCTCTGATAGTAACCCTCTGATAGTAAACGTCATACCCTATGTTTTCCTTAAGTGACAATACAACAGTTTTTAAAATATCCATTACAGTAGACTAGTTTGGATTTGACAAGCCATGGATTGTTGTGCTGACATTCATGTCCAAGAAAAATGGGAGGATATCCCATATATCCCAAAAGAAGTTACTGGCACTTCTGAGAGAGAAGCAATGGTCTATGGTTAAGGCCATAGGCTGGGACTCAGGAGATCTGGATTCAATTCCAAGTCTGCCAGAGACTTCCTCTGTGACCTTAGGCAAGTTCCTCATCTGTAAAATATGTTTAATAACATTTCCTTTCTCCCACCCTTGGTCTGTCTTGTCTGTTCAGATTGCAAGCGCGTTGGACAGCATCTAGCCCAGGGGTAGGCAACCTATGGCATGCGTACCAAAGGGGGCACGTGAGCTGATTTTCAGTGGCACTCACACTGCCCGGGTCCTGGCCACCAGTCCAGGGGGCTCTGCATTTTAATTTAATTTTAAATGAAGTTTCTTAAACATTTTAAAAACCTTATTTACTTTACATACAACAATAGTTTAGTTATATATTATAGACTTATAGAAAGAGACCTTCTAAAATCATTGAAATGTATTACTGGCACACGAAATCTTAAATCAGAGTGAATAAATGAAGACTCGGCACACCACTTCTGAAAGGTTGCCGACCCCTGATCTCATCACTACTGCAATACACACAATAACTTTTGACCACTTTTGCAACGTGAGCCTCCATGCTGAGAAAGGGTGATCTCCAAACTCCTACTGACCTAGTCTAAACCAACATAAGCCCAAGGGAATTGACAGGGACTGTTACTGGAGGTTGCTGTGCTACTTCCATACCAAGAGCAAAGAGAAACATGAAGCTGGACCAGGTGCCTTCCTAATGGTCGATTTTTGTCATTTTGCCTCTTAGGGCTTGTCTGTACTTGCAGGTTAACACACATTAAGGTAGTTTAGCTTAGCTCCAGTTGGGTTAAGCTAAATAAGCACAAGGCTTTTAGGGTTGCCAACCCTCCAGGATTGTTCTGGAGTCTCCAGGATTTAAAGATTAATATTTAATTAAAGATTGTCATGTGATGAAACCTCCAGGAATACATTCAACCAAAACTGGCAACCCTACTCTTTTTCCAGATTAAGAGTATCCGCACATGGAGTCATTTAGGAACAGTTAAATCAGGAACAACTTTATATGCACACAAGCCCTTACTGGTGTACCATTCCTGCTCTTGCTGCCATTCATTGAAATTATGACATCTAAAAATTGGAGATTTTTTTAAAGCAGTTTTATATTTTAGTTGTGCAAACAGCTTAAAATGGTTTGAAGTAAATAAATTAATTTATTGATTCACAGATTTTAAAGCCAAAAGACACCATTAGATCATCTGGTCTGGACTTTTGCATAACACAGACCAAGGAACAGCATTTCAAAACTATATAAAAACAACATTATTTACCCATGTGAATCCCAAACAGTTAATAGCATCAGCCAGCATGTCCCCCAGCAGGGAAGGCCAGGAGGTAAGAGCTGGAAAGTAGGCGTGCATATGTGGACTCTGCCAATGGACAACCTAGATCAGAGGATGCAGAGAAATTATATCAGGAACAATGTCAGAGAACTCTGAACCAGCCATACAGATTAAAACAATGTGAGGGGAAAGTCTCACCACTCCCTACTGAAGATCTGATAACAGCAAGTTTCAACATTAACAGCAAAAGAGCATTTTCAAAAGATAGTAATATGCAGTAACTAGATAAACTCCAAACTAAACCAGAAGTATTTATCTAAATTAAACATACAGCCATACATTTTCAAACAGGAAATAATGGTCCTCTGGCAACCATCCATTACAGTAACTTTATTTTACATCAGATTATTCAGGGAGGCTTATCATTGTATTTTATGGAGTTTGCTGCAAGAGTGACTAGTTGATTTCACCATTATTTAATTGTAATCCCATGGATCTTCTCCCCTGTTAGAATGCCTGTGCTAGTTAATTAAGTAGAGTTCACTATGAACTACTCATTCCCAGGGTGCAGATGTTCACACTGGATGGTAATGACCCTTTCCTGAGTCCAGTTCTACTCTAATTCTTACCCCAGGCATGATAATCTTCTCAATGTCTCTGAAGATGTTGTCCCAGCTGTCTGGCTCTACAGGGGCACTGTCTGGCAGCTGGGCTCTCATGTAACCAGGCTGCACATCTGGAGTCACCCGTCTCTCTCTCACGTTGCTCAGATACTGGCAAATGTAATCCACCATTTCTTTCCCTGGAAGAGGCAGAATGTGCCCTTTGAAATCAGGCCATAGGAACAACAGCACACAGCAATTCACACACACTCTTTGCATTTGATAGGGCTCAGTTATCAAACTGCTCAATGCATAGCTGCAGTACTGAATACAATGGACACTCCAGAGCTATCAAGGCTTGGAAAACTCAGCTGAGTACATTAAAAGAGCCACGTTTTCCCCCTGTAAGTCACCTGCTTCTTGTACTGTATCTCACACGTTTCTTGGGAGTGACCCAGTAAAGGCAAATCTTGAGTGATGGGCTTCGGCTTTCAACGGTACAGTGGCATGCGTCCCCCCCATGAACAGTGGCTGGAAACTCTAAAGTGCCTTGATCTCAACCCCCTAACTCAAGAGCAGGTGAGGAAGACAAAGGAAATCCACTGATGTCTGTAAAATGCTTAAAATGCCAACTACATTTAAACCTACACTAAGGACCCCTGTGCTTGGCAGTTGCTTCTCTTCAGTGACCATTTTAAAGTAGCCCCAGGGCTTCCAGTGCAGATTGTTAGAATTTAGTTAAAAATGCATCTCTCCTCAGAAGCTGACTTTGGCTAGTGCCTTGAGAGTTTGCTTAAGACTCTCTCTGTCCCCAAGAAGAACTTCCCTTGATAGCATTTGCTTGGCAATATACTTGTTTCATTGCCCATATAATAAAAGAGCACCAGACTCCATGGTAATAGTTTCAGTTACTACACTTAATTTATAACAGCCTTGTGGACCTGTACTCACCTGTTCCCCTAAGAACACACACAGTGCACACCACAGCTGAGATGCATTTGTGAAACAGCTTCCCAAAGGCAAAGGGTTTCTGAATATTCCTCATGAAGGAAAACAGCCTTTTCTCTGGAAAAGGCAGGGAGCCCAGAGCCAGGAGACCTGGGTTCTGGTCCCAGCTCTGAACTGGCTCTTTCTGTCAATGGGTCAGACATTTAACTTCTCTGTGCTTCCATATCCCATCTGTAAAGTGGCCTAGAGCCCTTTATAGCATGTTTGTAAAAAGCTCTGAGATCACAGATGAAGAGAGCTATGTCGGTGTTAAGTATCAGACAGTATTTCTCAAGTGCCGTGTAACTTGGCGCAGTGTCTAATCACTGGTGGATATTCAGATAGTCTCAGCCTCAACTGAAATTGGCTGAAATGGTGTGTTTCAGAGAAATAAAGATCATGCTCAAACCTTTCATAGTCCTCTCTCTCTCTGTGCTGGTCAGGGACTATCCCGTCACTCCCTGAAAGCAATCACAGCTCTGGGCTCCTTCTCCACTTGCTAGACACTCTCCCTTTCCTGCATCAGACATGGAGTGTGCCTGACTTTTAAACTATATGACATGTTCTAATGGGCCTGAGCTGTGCCCTGATTTACACCTCTGCAACCACACTGACATCAGCAGGGTTTCATGGGGTGTCAATGAGGCTGGCATTTGGTCCACAGTACATAACACAACCCTCTCCCATAAGGTTATTCTAGACTCAGGGCCGGCTCCAGTCACCAGCGCAGCAAGCAGGTGCTTGGGGCGGCCAACGGAAAGGGGCGGCATGTCCGGCCTCTTCGGCAGCAATTCGGCGGCGGGTCCCTCAGTCCCTCTCGGAGGGAAGGACCTGCCGCTGAATTGCTGCCGAAGAATGAAGTGGCGGCGGTAGAGCTGCTGCCGAAGTGCCGCCGATCGCGGCTTTTTTGTTTGTTTGTTTGTTTTTGCCGCTTGGGGCGGCAAAAATGCTGGAGCTGGGCCTGTCTAGACTGCAGGCTATGGACCATTGCCGTAGGCTGCTGTAGTATTTTATTTATAACTGCAAGGAAATGAACTGACATCAGAGCCATCCTCTGAAACTCATCTTTGGAGGGATATTCCACCCAATCTCTCTCCTGCTGCTTTACAATGTTAACTCCCATTAACCCGAGTGCACAGTGTCAGCCTGCTTGGGTATGTGTGTGTAAGTTCACTTCAGTGTGCAGAACCCACCTAGGGTGACCAGACAGCAAGTGTGAAAAATCGGGATGGGGGCGGGGGTGGGGGGGTAATAGGAGCCTATATAAGAAAAAGACCCCCAAAGCAGGACTGTGCCTATAAAATCAAGACATCTGGTCACCCTAAATCCATCTGGACTGCCATGCACCACTCCCAGCCCCACAACAGTTCTTCTCCCAGCAAGCAAATTGCCACCCACCCACTTTGATAGCCTGGAGAAGCCCGCAGGAAGATCTGCCTCACTCACCTCTCTCTCTGTACTCCCCTGGTTCCATGATGGCTCCTTCCAAAGTCACCCCCTCCAATCTGGGCTGTGAATCTTCAGTTGGCTGCAGGAAGCTCTGTCCTCCTTCACTGCTGGCTGCTCATCCTTCAGCCTTTATACCTCTCTTTATCTGCCAGACCCACGCATTTCAGAGAAAGGTTAGCGTAGGCAAATTAATGTAGTGGGAACTACGTATCTAACTCCTCCCCACTGTAATTCTCAGAGTGTGTGTGTGTTTTCCCTGCACTCTTTTGATGTCTAAGGTAATTTCCTCCAGATGATTTGTTTCTCCATTAACCCTTTTTACTATTGGGAATGCAGCCTGGTGTTCAGTCTCTGTCAATAGCCACAGAGTAAATCACTCCCCATGACACACATTCATGTACAATTTGGATGAGGATGGGGGTGTCAAGGATGGTTCCAAAAGCAGCCCAACACAGCATGGGGATAAAGAAAAGCAGACAGAATCCTTTCCACACTGTCTGTGCCCATTGGGAACCGTCTCAGTGGCACTTACTTTCCTACCCAGCCTGGTATTGTTAAACCTTAGCATGTTACAGCGTGGGCTAGGCCAGTCTTTGGTGGGCTGCAGCAGACAATTGCCTAATAGCCCAATAGCCAGAAGCAGTGTTGCCAACTCTTGCAAGCCTTGAAATATTTGGTATTTTTCTTAAAGCTCCTGGAGGCATGAGGTGATGTGAGAGTCAGTTTTCTTTTGGGGGGGAAAAATGTTACTAATGCTCACAGTTGGAAAGAAAAGCTTAAAAATCTGACCCAAGTGCACCCTAAAGCCTCAACAATGAGAAAGGAAATTAGAAGAACCCAACCTTCCTACCTGCCTTCCTTTCACAGTCTCGTGATTTTGGGTGGCCTGCCCCATGGTTTGCGAATGGCTGGGGTTGGTAATACTGACAAATAATAAATATGAGACAGGACTGGATGTCTCAGGGGTGGAGGGTGCTGTGACAGTGAATTATAGAGGCTGACCCGGGCTGAGGCCAGTAGGGACCAAAATCATTACAGATAGCCGTCTAGTGACCTCAGGGCCATATATTGGTGTAGTGCATGAAATTCTGTGTCCTGATAATGGCTGGACCCAGGGAGGATAAGAGCCTTACTGGCAACTAACAGAATTACTGTTTTAATTCGAGGTATGTGTTCAGCACTGAAGGGGTGGGATTATAGTCCCTTGGTGGGTGCCTATAGGAACTCCTTGTTCATTACATACATGCTAATGGAGGGGGTCTCCACTGAGTTCTAAGTGGTAAGCGTCTACATTTACAAAAAGCCAACAGCACAGCCAGCAGCTTTGCTGGCAGACCCAGCACAGTGGCCAGGGATGGTGTGGTCCTTGGAGATCCAACTGCTCTTCCTACCTTCTCCTGCCTAGAGCTAGTCTCTCCAGAACGGGGTTGAGGCACATTGGCAGGGTGGAGTGCCAGGAAGCTCATGCAGCTGCTGTCAGGTCTGCCATTTCTACAGACCAATAGAAGACTCTGGTCTCCAGGGCTATCAACCCTGCACTTTCCACCAACCCTGAAGATAACTCATAAAAGATCTCAGAGGGTGGAAGCACAGAATAAAATAAGAAATCCACCCATTGTCATGAGAATGGTTAAAGGATTTTGAAACCCTGACTTTATAGTGATAGACGCAAGGAGCGCAATCTATTTAATTTAACAAGGAGAAGATTAAGTGGTGACTTGATTACAGTCGGTTAGAGCCTACCGGGGGAACAAATATTTAATAATGGGCTTTTCAGTCCAGCTGAGAAAGGTACAACATGATCTAATGGCTGGAAGTTGAAGCTAGCCAAAATCAGACAGGATCTAAGCTCTGTTTTGGACTGTGTTCCTGTCGTCTAATAAACCTTCTGTTTTACTGGCTGGCTGAGAGTCACGGTGAATCGCAGGGAGTGGGGGGGTGCAGGGATGTGACTCCCCAACACTCTGTGACAACTGGTGGCAGCTCCCGCTTCCTGCGATTTACCATGACTCTCAGCCAGCCAGTAAAACAGAAGGTTTATTAGACAACAGGAACAGTCCAAAACAGACCCCAGTTCTGGGCCTCCCTCCTTTTCTCCAGCCAGCTCCAAACTGAAAACCCCTCCAGCAGTCTCACCCAGCCACACACCCCAGCTCCTCCTCCAGCCTTTCTCCAGTTTCCTGCGCAGAAGGTGTCACCTGGCCCCAACCCCCTCCTGGGCTCAGGTTATGTGCTCAGGTATCATCCCTCAAGTGAAGTCACACCCTGATATCCCACCACCATCCAGCACCAATGCAGACAGTACCAGTAAAACTCCCACGCAACATTCCCAGGTCAAAACTCCCCACTCCCTACTCCATCACATAAGGCATAAAATTTTAACAGGGAGAATAATTAACCACTGGAACCAATAATGGTGGATGCTCCATTATCAACAATTTTTAAATGACGAGTCAGACTGGATGATCACAGTGGTTCCTTCTGGCTTTGGAATCTATGAATCTGTGAAGCTTCTTGCTATTCCCTGCCATTGCACAGTTATAGCCTTAGCACAGTCTGACTCAGACTTGAACACTATTTTCTGAGACAACGTTGGAAAGGATAAATAAGGATGGCGCTTACATGTATCTCACTTTGTCTACAGGGACTTTGATTCTGATACTCTATCCCCTGTGGAGATCCCTTCACTGAGCCCAGTCACTCTGGTTTAGGAGCAAATCTCACCCTATATGCAAGCAATCTGCCTTCTGCTGTTATAGGGAAAGGAGATATAAGTGATTGTTTCAAATTCTACAGTTACATCGATGGTGTACAGTGATGATGCCCTTCCTGGATAATCTACTCTTCCAAATGATAGCTAGATAGGACTAGGTTGTATTTCATTCTCATGCCCATCCCATGGACCAGACAGTCCCTAGAGAGATGAGCTGGGACAGGGCATGTTGGGAGCATGCTGTATGTCTGTTCTTGCCCTTCCCAAGTGTGATGTGCTTGAGCACTTTTGCTTGGCCTAGTGTCCCCAGCATCCCATCAAGCACACCTCTGCCTTAAATTGGCCCTCAACATGGAACCATAATCAGCCCACGAGATTGGTCTCAAAGGACTCACCCCTTCCCACTTTATGGCTCAAAACACTTCCTCGTCTGCTTTTGCTGCTAGTGCATTTCACATTATATTTTAATGTTGACTGCAAAGTCTTTTATCTCCGTGACTGCTTGCTGTTCCACACTATCACTAAGCAGTCCTGGACTGTACCTAGAATCTTACTTAAAATTGTATTTGTCAAAAGGGAATAGTCCCACGGTGAAAGACGAAAAAGGCTAAGGGCTGGGTTTCAAAGAAGCTTGCCTTACATGCCTGCATAGTGGATGTGCTATAAGGCAGGCTGGACACTTTGGAATAAAGAGACGTTTTAGGTTAGTTTCCCTTCAAGCAGCCTACAGCAGAGGTTCTCAAACTGTAGTTCGTGGACTGCCAGTGATCCGCGAGCTCCATTCAGGTGGTCCGTGGATAATTCCCTCCAAGGTGCATGCCTGGGTGGCCACATATGACAGGATGAAGGGCCACCCACCTAGTTAGTGGAGCTGCACAGGCATGGCTCCATTAATTAGGTGCCTCGACCCTGGAAAAGATGCACCTGTAAGGTGAGGTGGTGGCCTTGGGGGGAATAGGGGGTAGGTGGGAGGGGGCAGTGGGGTGAGAAGAGGGGGTGGGGGGAATTTGGGACATGCAGGGTTGCGGTGGCCAGAGAAAGAGGTGACTTTCCCCAGCTCCAGGGCTGCGGCTGCCAGGGAGAGACAGCCCTCCTTCCCAGCCTCAGCTCTGTGGTTGCTGTGGCAGGGGAGAGACCCCCTCCTTCCCAGCCCCCGCCTGGGGGCTGCCATGGTAGGGGAGAGAGGGCACATCCGTTGAATTAGAAAGGTATGACTACTGATATTAAATATGAGTTGTGTGCTTTTATTTGTAGAACAAAAAAGTTTATTATAATAAAGTGTTTTTTTTTATATAGCACTTTTATCCAAAGTGCTTTACAATAGTTAGCTAATGGTACAAACAACATTTGGAAAGATCATTAAGTGGTCCGCCGAGACCCTCAGCAATTTTCAAGTGGTCCGCGAAAAAAAAAGTTTGAGAACCACTGGCCTACAGTATAACAACTCTGGGTATCTCTCGGAGCCTCTGCTTCCAGTAGATATTTGATAAAGAACAGCAGTTTTGGAGATATGACAAAGTTGCTCTGAGAAATAATGATACAATCAAGGTATTGATATAGTGAAGGAAGGAACATTGATACAAAGGCATTCGCACCAGAAGTGTGAAAGCACTATATAAAAATATGCCAGAAATGTATTTATCTGCTATTAGCTCATGAAAGAGCCTTTAGCAAAAGAACAAACAAACTCACACAACTAGAATTTGGGGAATGCTACAAAAACTTCATTTCTCTTTGCTCTGGCCAGCACAGCCTGAGTAGTAGGGAATTATAATGCAGATTAATCGGGCTCCGAGAATAGCCCAAGATTGTTTGGATTGCATGCATGGGAATAACCCAGGCAATTGACAAGGAAACACATTGAGTTTCTTCTCACAGAGATTCCTCCAAATTGTCCCCTTGGAATATAGGCTAGGAATTTGCCCTTCAGCACAATGAACAGGGGAGACAGCCTACAAAATCCACAGATCCTGTGGAACTGCTGGAGGAAAGGGTCACTCCAATTCTATGGAGTCTCTGTGACTTTGTACTGCCTCCTATTGACCCCCTCTATGGTAGCACAGCTCCATTGATTCTGTGCTGCAAGGGCAACCACCACTTGCTGGCTGGCCCCAGAATTTCCCTCAGAGGATCCTGACTCAGTATTTACGTAAGGAATATCCACATCTTTAATGGAATTCCCAGAGAATTCCCAGCCCACCACTTCTCTCAGCCCTAACCCAGCCTGTTTCACACCAGATCTAACCTGAGGTATTTCTGTGATAGCTACAACCTCTGCAACTGCTTTGCTGGTGAGCAGAGCAGATAATCGTGCTCTGACCCCACCTAGGCATGCCTCCTCTGGGGCACTAAGTGCTGTTGGTAGTGCTAGCAGGCACTCCAATGCACTCAGCATCTCCAATAGCTGCTTCCTCACCATGAATCTCGAGGAGAGCAAGGGGTTACCTGAGCCCATAACACACCCATGCTTGAAGCGTCTGGCTCTAAAAGGATTTATTCCTTATTTCCAGTATTTACCACTGAAAACTAATGACAAAGGGGTATATGTTTGTACAGTTCCTAGCACAAGGGGTCCCTGATTGGGGCCTCAGGAGTCTACTGTAACAAATGAAAATTAGTCATTTCACTTACACAATTGAATTATGGGCCCATTTCCAAGTGTCTGTATGTATTCCTGTATTCGTAATACAGGCAGCAAGATGGTTCAATAGTTGTGGCAATAACCTAAGACCTGGGAGATCCAGGTTCAATTCCTTGCTCTCCCACAGACTTCCTGTAGGCATGTCACTTAGCAGCCTCCCTGTGCCTCAGTTTCCCATCTGTAAAATGGGGAGACTAATATTTCCTCACCTCTCTGGGGTGTTGTGAGGCTAAAAACATTAAATAGCATGAGGTGCTTTGAGACCTACCAATGAAAAAACACTTTACAAGAGCTAGGTATTACTATAAGAACCTATTCAGAGCCACACACTTATAAAACCTTTTAAAAAGGTTTTAAAACCATGTAAAAGGCAGTGTGTTAATTTTATGTGATTCCAGATCTTATAAGCCTCCAACAAGTTTCTTTAATAAAGTGGGCTGCTGATTACATTTATGATTTCAACGTGGAACAACAAACACAGAGCAATATTTTACTCCAACATGTTTTCAGACCTAAGCTACACGTAATAAATATTTCTCATGACATTTATCTTACGTCTCTCACTCCAAAATGAGACAGTGTGAGCAA